TAGAAAATACAAGCTTATCTACGTCTAAAATGTCAACTATTTGTTCTCACCTATGGGGCAGTGATTGAGGCCAATTGTGAACCTTCCTACCTGTGAGATCTTGAGCCTTTTTCTGTATATCACCTAAGCTCTTTCAAGTCTTAGATGATAAACAACAGTCTGTACCTCATATGGGGTGTGAGAATTAAACACGTGGGAAGGGGCTTGGCTTATCACTGGTTCCGTAGCTCATTGTGCAATAAATGCTGTTCGTTGTTAGTGTGATTGGTAAGACAGTTAGACAGGACCAGTGAGGCCAAGAGTACATTTTAGGAGAAGGTGCCTTTAGAGGCAGGCAGAGAGAGTGGAGGGCCGGGGCATGGCTCTGCTGCCCTTGCTAAAGGTGTTGAGTCTTAAACCGCTTTAGGACTTGGGGTTCTCATTTACGTATTTCTTTGGGGGAGAGCTTTAATTTTAAATATATTGTTGCAGTCCAATAAACTGAATTATTTAATGAAGAATTTGAGGCTCAGAAAGACTAGATATCATTCTAGGGGCACACACCTGATGAATCAGAAGTAGAAGCTGTGAAAATAATTATTATGTATCAGTGGAGAGGTCTGAGCTAATCATTGATTCATCTTCAAAGAGATATTCCAAAATCTATCAATTTCTTCTTTATGTACTCTTAAACAAACATTGGTCTAGTAGTAATTTAGCACAAGAGGGCCAGAAGAGATATGGTCCCATCTCAGGGTATTTATAGTCTGTTATGAAAGACATAAAAAATACATAAAAATATTATCATTATGACAAGCTTTATGAAGAAAACAAACCTGTGATGTTAAAAGAGAAAAGTTTCACTTTAGTTTGAATGGCCCAACTTAGAAGACATGCTTTCAGAAGTTACATTGGAGAATGGAAGGAGTCAAGGAAAAGAAAAAGGAGAAGAAAGAGAGTTAAAAAAGAAAAAGACAGTCCTTTGGAACATGGGAGAAGATTGCTTTAGGACCGAGGAGGAAACTAGTAAAAGTCCCCAGGTGGGAAGAGGAG